GTTTTGCTACACCTATAAAATTATGAAGACAATTAACAAGACAAAAAATAAATGAAACCTTTATTCATCAGTTTCTTTTCTTTTCATAAATGACAAATAGAGTCTATGGTGTGGACCGATGCTTGGGAACATGCAGCAGACAAGCTGAGGGCTTTAATGACTCCACTGGAGGGCAGTGACAATCTAAGTAGTAATGGGTCTGCAAATTAACCATTAACTTTTCATGTGTCCATGTCACAGACCATCAGTTTGATTCAGCCAAGGTTGGTGTCTTCAGTTTGCCGTGGAATACAAATAGGTTTGATAATACTGAGGACCTCTGGGAGAAGCTGAACATAAATACTGAAAAAACACAAACAAATAAACACACCTGGATTTATTTGTACCTAAATTACTTTCATATGGTCTTGTTGGTTCAGTTTATTAGCCATGACCATTTACAAGTGTAGAAATACACAGAATAGAGATTTGTTTTGTTCACACCAGCAGAATATAGAATAACATATATTTTAAATTGCAAAAATCATATCCTATACTGCTATAATTCGCAAATTATACTTTACACTTAAATCTGTGGTAGCAGTATTGACAGAGTATTATGTATTGTATATGCTTGTGTTGTGCTGTGTATTATAACCCGTACAGCACGGCCCAGATCTTAAGACGCACTTCATCAAAGATCAATGAGCCGCTGCTGTTATTTATGCACAAAGAATGAGCTTTACTTTACTACTATTAAAACTCTACTTGACACACACCATACCGCAATTGGTCCGTTAATGTGTTGTGAGCAGATCCATTGAAAAGCCATGATTCAGTTTTAGTTTTCTCTTGACTCATTAAAACTGAATATGTTTCTTTCTTCCATTTGGCACAGTTGCATAACCAGGGAAGCCTCTACTTTTAGATTGCTCTAGTTTTACACACTTGTGGGGAGACACATCAAATCATTTATTCATGGGGCTTTCTCTCCTGGCTTTCATTAAGTTGGTGGGAAAGGAAATATCTACAGTATGTAAGCATTTCACAGTAGGGATTTTCTCTGCTGGATTAAAAATACTGCGTTTGTGTGCAAAAAAACATAAACATGGGATACTGATAAAAAATAAGCTCTATAAAAAAGAAATACATTTGCAGGCTGTTAAAGTTGTTTAGGTATTTATTTACAATAAAACAACACCACAACATTCATTTCATTGTACATCCTGCTGCCTCTTCACTATCTATACTTACACCACTGGTTTGTGATGATAAGGCAACTTAAATGATCAGCAGGACATACCGTGAAATTTTTCCCTTTTACAGAATAGTCTGAATAGCTTTTAAAATAATTTGATTCTACAAAATCTTCTCAAAAGAATATTCAAATTTAAGTGTATGAGAAAAAAAAGAACAATAAAATGTTAACTTGGCAGTTATTTTGAGGTGTTGGTCACTCCCATCTGAAAACAATGATCTATACATTATACGCTAAGTACGCCAACTAAATATTTACAAAATCAGTAGTTGTATTCAGAGTTATTTTCTCTCAAGCAAATAAATATTCACCATTTCATTTGAATTGCATTGAAAATGTATCGCACTGAAACAGATCTGACCCCTGAAATACACAGAACTTTACAGATGACAACGTTATATTTTACTCCAGAGCAACACATACAGAACAAATTATATGACAGGATGCTGAGTGTAGTCACCATAGAGGTACAGAAGAACAGATGTATGCCATACATGCCACTTTAATAGGAACCAAATCAATAAATAAAAACATATTAGAGGGGAAAAATAGAACAAAATGTAGAGACTCGTCTCCACAGCAGCAAACACACGACGGACAAAGCAGTTTAATCAGTCACTGATGGATACATCCACATATGAGAAGACTACACACACAGCTTTGCACCAACATTATTTTTCTAAAGAAATCAGTGTGCTTCAATTAAATACTGCCGTCCCATTATGGCTGCAGAACGTGAGAAGGAAGCTAAAAAGAATCGGAGGGACACAGACATTGCATGTTTACATTTTAAGGCCATTTCATTTAATTTATGATACGTTTCTTTCTTTACAGTGACTCGTGGTGTTAAGTTTAAACCTGGATATTTGGGGCAGGAGAGGAAAGAGAATAATTACTTTGCTCCAACGATCTATGAGGACTTTATCTAGAAAATACTCACATTTTATAGCATCTATCAGAAAGAATCTATATCACATGGCATATGTTGTTATAAAACACTCATCTTTGCTGCTGAATATTTGGTATTATTTATATATTAGAGGTTTCTGAGCCAGAGCCTTTGCAGAGATCATCTCTATGTTGCACAAAAAGTCCTTTCCATGATGTCAACACAGAGATCAGTGGCACTGTCTTCACCCTGTATAGCCAGCACATTTAGGCTTTAACAAGACAAACTAAACCCAAGTCATATCTTTTATAAATAAAACAACATTTGAAAATAAAATGTGTGCTCTCGAAAAAAACAGCAACATACAACTAGGCAACAGTTGTGTGAACAGGCAAAGAAAAGAGTGGAGGGAAACAACACTGTGCAAATGCTGGCCCCTCTTTGTGCGTCATCTTCTCCAGTGTCCTCCTCCAGGTTCCTTGATTTCTGCGCCCTGTCACTCACTGAGGAGCAGGCAGGCCAGGCTTCACCTGCGTCCTCTCCTACGTCTCATCTTCCTCATCTTCCTCCTTCTCATCTCTTGTCATGGCGAGCGCCTGCACTTGTCTCATCTCCCCGTGGGACTGTGACTTATGGGAGGGCTTCAGGAAGAAGAGAAAAACACATGGAGAATGCAGTTAACTCATATATTCATGTGATATATTCACTTATCTTGATAAGCCTTATGGTTATGACACTTAAAACACCTGAATATGCAATTGAAGTCTACATGCAATATTTGGTTTGGTGTCATTTAACTGTATATCAAGTCTCTGGTCCATTTGTCCATTGTTTAACCCATGAGAAGGGTATTGAGGAAGGTCTAACCTGAAGATGGAGATCCAGGACACAACCAGATGTGCGGAGCTAACAGTTCTGCACACAGAGATGCACAAACAGCGATAAAAAACAAACAGAGCAGATCTAGACATTAGCAACAGCACACATGAAGCATTACGGCACCACAGGGCAGTGAAGCAGAGATACAGTAACACAGCTTCAGTGCAGCTCCTATACTGTGAGTGTAAAACTGAGCAGGTCAGTATAAAACTTTTAACGCCAGGGTGCATCGAGCATCAGGAGAAAAAACAAACATGCGGAGCAACAGAGAGGATGTGTGACGGAGTGAGGAGTGGGTTTGACGAACCGATGAGGACTGATGATCGTGTGGTCGTTCCAGTTTGATTCGAATGTCTGTCCCCTTTCCTCGATCAGGTTTACCAGGTCCTGGAGGACAAGTCAAAATTAATCACCACAGCAAACATTTTCTAACACGACTGATCAAGCCTCTCACACCATCCTGATAAAGTTGAGATATCCAAACACGTCTGGTGAGATGGAGAAGAGTTGTGTGATGTTTTTTAAATTTTCAATGTACTTCTGTTGAAACTCAGACTTGTCTGCACCTCGCTGTGTGTTTATTCTCACATCAAAAATAAAGTGAAGCGTGTCTTTGTCAGTTGACCAATAGAATTGACCGATATGAGCTTTAATCTGCTGATATGAAAATTTTCACTTTGCAAAAATAAACAAAGCAGTAACCTAGTGCATTTATTTTTAGATTTTATTAAAAAAAAAGGTTTATCTTCAAAATTCAAGTTCACATATTTGGCTGTGTTTGTGTTTTCTTTTTATTTATAGTTAAACTGCAAAATATCTACTTACTCTATTTAATTCCTCTACAGCCTGACTAGTGTCCTGTGACCTCATGGTTTGTGACAACTTGCTGGACCTGCCTCTCCATCTCTCTCACCTGGGGAGCTCCCACGACTGGTGGTGCTGGTGCTGCTCATGCTGTCCTCCAGCCAATTGCAGTAGGAGAAGGAGTCTCGCTTGTGCGGCGTCCCCGCAGACGACACACTCTCCTGTGGAGTGGAGAGCGCAGAGACACATGTTTGACAAACACTGAAATACAGATGATTGTGCTGTCTCACAGGGACATATATTGAAGATATCACTCACCAGTCCTGTGTCATAGTCCTCCGTGGCCTCGTTCTCCTCCACCACACTCGCAAAGCTACTAGCGTTGGAGGAGGAGCGGGAGAGGTCGTGACCCTCAGGGATGGATGGGGCCCTGCCACCGAGACAAGAACTACACCCTGGGTTAACCACTCTCCAGATCAGCCCAACCTGATTTTATCTTATGTATAAGACATCCACGTGATGTGGTCGTAACCTTTCTATCATACGCACCTGTTCTTGGCGGTCATGAGCACTTCAGGGGAGCTCTGATTGGATGAATTGTCAGATTTGGGGTCTTGAGAGACGTGACCACTGTCAGGGGTCTTCTGGGTATTTGGAGAGTTTTCTCTACTAAAACAAAAAGCGTTTAAATAAGTTTAGAAAACATCAGAAATGGCAAATAGGAGGCAACATGAAGAAAATCGATAAACGTCCAAAATTAAAAGACAATAAAAATATGAACTCTAGTTTCAGGGTTTTATTTTTTCAGGATATCAGAGGGAGAAATAAGAAATACAGCAGGAATGT